GGACAAGCGGCGTCCAATTCCTCGCGCCCAGCTTTACAGTTAGTTAAGCGGCATTGTACAGCGAACATGTACAGGTTTGTATCGTTAATGTAGCATAGAGATCCGAGTCATCACTCAAGTTATTTTTCTGCAAATCTTTGAAGCATCTCTGGCTTAAAGAAATTGTTGTATTCCACATCCTATTTATCAGATTCCTTCCCTGTACTTATACGTTTTCCGCTGCCGGTGAGTAGTCTGTTTCGGCAACAATCTTACCTGTATATCCCGCAGCTTTTGCAAAATCTCTAAGAAACCTCCACCGTGCTTGTTTGACCCAGCCCTTCTTTACAAAGTCGTTCGCCGTTTTAGGGAAGTAATCAACGATATCCGAGAGCGTGTCGTCGTGTGCTGCAACGAAAAGAATATCGTCGTGCGCATCCGCCTCTTGTAGCTTCTCGATTGACTCGATCATAGTGGGAATATCGTAGTGTACATGCGGCCCACTGGCGGGAAGATAAAACGGGCTATCCTTCCTATCGCGCAGAACTCCTTCAAACAGCTCACCCGGGCATACTGAACTGGTGCTCATGGTAAACGGATGCGGCAAGATGGCTTTAGGCAGCGGATGCCAGGGATGTGGCCGCAGTTCCCCGCTGTGATGAACCGTATCACCAGCCATTAAGATGAAGCTGTCCGGCTCACTCGTTACACGCGCGAGACCATATACATGGCCAACCGCGTGGCCCGGCGAGTCAAGGAAGTATAACGAGCCGTTACTAAAATAGTCCAAAGCATCAAATCTCCCGATCTTGAAGCCGGTCTGTGTGAAATCTAGCTCTTTCACCTTCCGACCCGAGACATTAGCCTCGAGTATGTGTGCACTGGGGTCTTTCGGACAACCCGGTAATACTATCGCTTTGGCTCCCGGACCGACGACTAGCGCTGTGCTTGGCTCGAACCTCGAGGGGTCGCCAGTGTGGTTGAAGTGCTAGTGCGACCAAACCACGGCTTCGATCGCCCTTGTGTCCACGCCGCCCTCGTCTAGTACCTCCCGTACGTCCTTCGGCACGGTTAACTAGACGCCGGATCGCTTGATTTGCTCTATAAGGGGAGGAGAGAGATTCTAGTAGTCCTTTCGGATGCCAAGATCGAATATTAGTAAGCGGTTCAGCCCGGGGTGTTAGATTAGGAACGAGTAACAGGGCGCTGCGAGCCACTCGTGGCCTAGGATAGAAGGCTCTATGAAAAGCTGGGTTTTGAGGCCGTGTATAGAGCCGCTGTTTATTATTGAGACGTTGACTATCGCTGTTGATGCTGGAATGTTTAGATCGGGAGCGGATACTATTTCGGCTAAAGGATATAGTGAAGGCGGTAGTGGGAGTCGGCTCTTTGTTCTGCTTCTAGAAACATTAATTAGTTTTTTGTAACCTAATATTTAGATGAAGGCGTACTACCTTTGCAGCTAGTATTTTACCTAGGAAATTTCTGGAGATCCTGCTGGCTTGGTTCTAGAGATTTAGCGAGCTTAGATGCGGTGCGACAATCTATAAGCGAAGAAAGCCATGTATCTATATGATGACAAATCGAGCATGTAGTGTTACATTATGAGCGGGGTATTTAGGACCTAAACTTATATTCATACTCCTTATATCTCCGGGCGGAATTTATGCCGTGCTATGTATAGTTTAGGATGTTGCCCCGAAGCATACAAGGAAGTCGTTATCCTCTAACTTAAGCTTATCCCTAGCCGTCTTTTAAGATACTACGCCTATTGTAATCATGACTAAGCCGACGAAAGCACCCGAGGCGGGTCCCGTTATTGCTATCCTCGGAGCCGGTATTGGCGGTCTCGCGCTCGCTATCGGTTTAATCGAGCGCGGTCTGTCCGTTACTATCTATAAAGTAGCTGATGCCTTCTCTATACTAGGCGTAGGAATTGGTTTCGGGCCTAATACCCTAAACGCTATAAGCCTTATCGACGAACGATTCCGCGAGTAGTATAATAAGGTTAAAACCGAGAATGAGAGTTCCGAGTTCGAGTATAGTATCTTCGACGCCTTGTACGCGGAAGATAGCTTCGGCGAGAAGAGAGGCTGGACTAGCGGGTTCGTCGGAGCACCGTACTTTATGAGGAGTAGCGCGTACCGTAAAGATTTACTCGAGATTATGACGAGCTTTATCCCGTCTGAGACCGTGAGGTTTGGCAAACGGGCGATAACTATTGAAGAGGTGGAAGACAAGGTAAAAATTGCTTTTGAAGGCGGAGAAGTTGCGATTACTAATACGGTCGTTAGCTGCGATGGAGTAAAAGGTATTATATGAGAAGCTGTGCTTGGAGCTACCGTACCGGAGGAAGTTCTACTAAAATACCTCGGTATGTACTGTTATCGCGGTATTATCCTAATGGATAAGGTAAAAGAAATCCTGGGAAAATATGCCGGAGATGTAAAGTAGTTCCTGGTAAAGGGTAGATTGATTGATTGATTGATTTGTTTAACGTCTATGTGTAGTTAGAAACTATAACAGACGGTTCTATATAGGAGTATATAAAATAGGCGAGAAAGTAGCGAGGCTGTAGTCTAGGGTAGGGCAAGGAACGGTTAGATCTAAGCCGGATAAGGGTTAGGGTTAGGGTTAGGGTTAGGGTTAGGGTTAGGGTTAGGGTTAGGGTTAGGGTTAGGGTTAGGGTTAGGGTTAGGGTTAGGGTTAGGGT